CTCTGCCATCTGCAGACCCCAAGAGCTGCTTTGATTGGATTAGCCATGAATTAATGAGACAGGCTTGAAGAACAGCCTCTGTTGTGGAAATCTCTTATCATATCTTAATTCGCTCTTTGTGTGAGTGCGTGTGTCTGTGTGAATTTTTTTATTTTTTTTTTCAATGAAAGAATCAAAGAAGAGCAAGTCTAATGTTTTTTCAAACGCCCAAATTACAGGTTGCTTTTCAAAAAATATATAATTCTCAAATTAAGGAACACGTGTTATTAGAGACCTGTTGCTCCTGGTACATATATCAGTCCCTTCAGGATTCCCTGATGTTGCAATTGCAACTATTAACAAATTCTACAAATCCCTGTGAATTCATTGCGACATAAAATTTTAACCAATCACCACAAATGTGGCCTATCATCACCGTATTCCACAAAACAGCTTGTCACTTCCTTGTTTACAAGACGCTGCAGACGTGTGATACCAACGTCTCACATTTGCCGACAAAAACAATAAAAGGACAGTGAAAAACAGTATCTAGATCTTCTTTACCAAAGTGGGGGTAAAACGCTTTACAAACGTGCAGTATTGTGGTTGAAAATAAAGGAAATTATGATTGACAGAGTGGCAAAAACGCATGGAGGACGTCAGACGAGACAAATCACTGTGACATAAGCTGAAAGAACTGGTGTAAATATGCAGGGTTAAGGTTAGGCCTGCAAAATCCAGGAGGGACTGTTTAATAATTCAACTATAGTTCTAAAGTTAAAAAAATGACATGTACCTTTGCAGTTTTTACTTATTCCTAATTTCATTACAAAAATACCCCAAAACATCGCAAAATTCTTTTTTTTTTTTTTTTTTTTTTTTTTTAGAAAAGCTGCTTCAATATCAGGCATTTTAGACTGCAACAATCATTACTAAGGCCTGCAAAATCCTGGAGGGACTGATACATTAAAAGTGTGACATAGGGATAGATCTGAACATGGCTGAACAAATGTCCTCCATAGATGTCTCTTTAAAAGCAACAAGTGTCTGCCTCCGCTTTATTTTGTTTTATTGTCCCCTGTGTTAGAAAAAAAGTAGTTTTACTATCTCCTCTGACCAAGGAACCTTGGAAAGACTCGACTTGCTTTTGGAAGTGTTGTTTTTGGGTGGCATGACTGTAAAGCAACCTTTAAGAATAGACAGTTGTCTCCCTGATGACTTAAACATTCCTCCTCCTTTCGAGCACCAAGTAGTCACAAAAACGGAGCACTCCATCCTGTCCTCTTCAATCAAGTCAAAAACCAGCACAAAGTCTGTACATTTTTAATGCAACACAGGAATAACTGCCTCTGTGTCCCCTGGTGTCTGAAATTAATAGCTTACATAGTATTTATTGTTGTAAGTTTCTACTTGGCGTGAGATCGAGGGATCAGGTGGGGGGATGGCGTTGTTTGGTTTGGGAAGTATTCTGTTGGTTGCATAGCAACAGGCTCCTGGAAACGGGAGTGGACGGTGTTGCCACTAGCAACCGTTGTTGCTCTGCAAACAATGTGGGCCAGTGCAAACATGAGCCAAGACTGTGGGCTCCTGCTTTTAATTGAACATCTGTATGTGTTTTTCTCTGATTGAGCCCTGTTTAAGTTAGATCTGTCAGTGAGGGATGTTTAAATCTCGTCTGCACTGTTAACATTATAGACTACAGCTTTAATGACAGTTTGTGAGGCTTTGGGTTTCTTAAAATGTGCCTTGTCTTATTTCCGTATAGCTTTCAAATTCAGGTAAATTTTGAAAGGAGGGGCAGTTGTTGTAATGTTGTTAAGTGCTCATCTGGGATTTGCCTGAATTAAACCAGGCTCACGGACCTGCCATGAAAATGGACTTGTGTGTGTGTGTGTGTGTGTGTGTGTCTTTGCGTGTGTGTGAAGTTGTCTCTGGGTTCGAGGCTTAAACATTTGGCCCTGAACAGCAGCCGATCCAGAGTAGCAGTTTTGCAGCAGTGTGCTGTGTCTCCTGCTGTCTTCTACCTTTGTGCCTTTCAGTGCTGCTAGTAGGGAATTTGTGTGGCTTTTAACCTTCCCTGAACACCAAGCAGAAAGACTCCTTTATGCCTGCACTTTCTCCTGTCTCCCCCCCTCAAACCCAATCATTTGGCACACTTCACCATACCTATTAAAGCCAGCACTTTAATTGCCCTTTAATAGCTGAAAACGTGCAGGTCAGTGCTCTGGTTTCTTATCCCCCACCTTCTTGCCATGCCACCCACTCTTTAATGGCAAAGAAGCCCAATCAGGCTTGTGTCACTTTCTCTGGTGAAGATAAATGATTGGATTGTTACAAATGTATTTATAACTGAAGTGACACCCCATAGACAGATGCTTGAGCATTGCAGCGGCTTTAAAAATGTTCACTCCTTGTTGGCATCATTCTGATAATAGTCTTTTGGTACTTTAATGACATACAGGAAAGATGTGTGAAGAAAAATTGTGAGAGCCTTCACATGTAAATGCTAATTGTGCTAGCAAATAAAATGAAGATGGACTCAGAGGGTTGTTCAGGGTAGACAGAATGTGGTGCTTAGGAGCATGTGTGCGTCTGAAGATTGACACATAGGAATTTCAACATAGGCTATCAGTCTATTAGTCACATAGACAGAGCAGTGTCTTTGCCTGTGGCAGAATCTCCATACATGGAAAATGCCAGTGGTGGCACACCCAATCTGTTGTTTTTCTGTCTTAAAGGTAGACTCTCTGATTTTGTTTTGGCATCCAATAGTGCCCCCAAAGCCTAATTACTGATGTCTAAAACCTAACACAGTTCTGTTTCAAAAATATTAGTTTTGTAGCTAGCTGGGAGATTTATGAATTTGTGTGCTTTTTGTCCCTTGAAGATTCAACTAGTGCATCTTTAGTGATGTCAGTCTGTTGTGGTTATTTTAGAAGTGTATCAAAAGTGTAATATTCTGTTCACAGCCAGTTTGTATTTCCTTGTCTTTTGATCACCTATACATACAGTAGAGAGACATACATACAATACAAAGAGCTGCGTTTGGAGAACCGATGCTACATTTAACATTAGTTACAGAAGTAGAGTGACAGTGCCAGACTCGCTCCTCCTGTAAGTCAACATGTAGTGTAAATTGAACTTCTTGAGCTATGTCAAAACTTGCCCTCGTTGCGATTCTGGGTAAAATGAGAATCACTGATTTTTTTAATCCAGAGTGGAGATTACAATTTAGTGTCAAGATCCATAGGGAAACTATTTTTTAAATTGTCATTTTCCCTTGCAATTTCCTTTTGCCTGTGGGAATGTGATTATGGGTGGTAGGGATTTTGTGGTAGTGTCTGTGATGGCTTCATCATGTTGTATTTAGTGGCAGCATTTGAGGTGGTTGTATAAATGAGTAGTGTTATCGTGTATCATCTAAGTCTTTAACTCTGAAAATGTTCCACAAAAGAGGACGTGACTCCTGTTTCGGTGTGAGCACAACATTTTTGTTGGAATGATGGTTTGGTTAAATTTATTTCCTCTTCCTCTCTCCATCTCTGGTGGAGTTTCCTTGATTCTGACTCATTTTGCCCCTGTTTTTCATCTCCTCTTTAAGTCATATGTTAGATTTGTTTTTATTTGTCCCTTCTGTCTGATTTTAATTTGTCACATGGTATAAGTCATTTTGTGATGAATTTTGGAGACACATTTAGATCACTTGGCTTGACACAACAGATGCAGGAAAGCCTTCTTAAGTCCTATCTGAGCAGAAGCTTGAAGTGAAATCACAAGTTTAATAGCTTTAATCGTGGAGCCCCTTAAGAAAGTTTAGTTTGATTCTTCAGAAAGCAAAAACAAAAGCGCAGCTGCACCTGTTGCTTGTATCTAATAGCTCAGCCTGCAGATTACTGTAGCCTAAGTGGTGGTCATTAGATATCTTCCAGTAAATTAAAATAACAGCGTAGTGCATGTTGTGTGTTATGACTAATCACAGCGTGCCTAGAGCAGGTTGTGTCTTGTGGCCCCTTCGCTGTAATGCTCCTGGTGAAAACCATTCTCTTGTCTACCTACTGACTTTTCCTGCTGCTCCTGGATCTTTAACCAAAGACTGCTCATCAATTCAACCCTCCTCCCCCCAACCCTTTCCCTTATTCTAATCCTTCTCCCCCTCTTCTCTTTGCATCCGCAGTCGAAAGTTCCTGTGCAAGAGCTTTTATAAAGGGGGGTGGAGAAGTGAACGGGGAGGGGGGGTGGTCGTCATGGATTCCTCACCATAGCAACCGACAAACGTTTACAAAGCACTGAGGAATTTCCTCATATCAGCTGGATTATTGGAACCCTCAGAGATCGGCTCTCGTTTGAAACAAACGCTGGATATCATCAGGACCCTGGCAGGGGCTGGAGCCCCACTGCCATTTTCATTTTTTCCCTCTTCATTTCTTCTTTATTGAGAAAGTGGGGAAGTCGTTTTTTTATCTGCTTACTCCCCCTTACAGTTCCATTCTTCTCCCTGCCTTACTCCCACTCTTTCCCTTTCTTTTTTGAAAAAGAGAGCCTTTGTGTCACTCCATTTTTAGCTCCCCTTTGCTATGCTGTGCACATTGTCACCAAGTGGAAAGCCGAGTGGCGGCTGTGGGTTTCGTCCTCAGGAAGAATTTCATTCCTGTTGGTAACTTGAACTCCTGTACTGTAACTTTTCCACCTGGGTCTGATCTGTCAGCAGGACCAAGAGTGTATGTGTAATACTCTTGGGCTGCTTATTTCACCATTGATCAAGTCCCAAGGTGGGCAGCCTCCGGGGCTCGGAGAGCTTTACTTACTCAGCTTGACTTGGCAAAGCCAGAAACCCCCCGGGGGACAAAGAATACCCTGGTGGTTCCAAAAGAGAAGGGGTGAGCATTTATTTAGTATGGCTGTCCATGTGTATAGACTTGAATTGCTTCAATATTACTGTTAGAGAGTGTCTCTTTTGTCTAGTATAAAATTCTTCCCTACTCATGTCTTTTCTCCTTCTCCATGTTTCCCCTGCAATCCAGCATGCAGAGCTCCGAGGGAGGGTCAGACACCACGACCAGCGTGGCAGCGCTGCGGACGTCATCATCAGCTCAGGCTCCTGTGGTACAGCCTGTCCCAGCCTCTCAGCAGGTAGGGTACTACCTCAACCCTGCTGCTACTGTAATGACAGGACAAATGGGGAAAGTCTGTAATGACTTAACTGTTCCATCCTATTTCTTTCCAAATGTTAAGCATAAAAGAGTTCCCGCTGTATTAGTGCTTGTTCATTTGAGAAGAAACCTGAAAAGAATACCGTACAATATCTTGTAAATAATTTTCTCCTGGATCCATAGTTTGTCAGCAACTGAAACTGCCACCTGTCCACTCTGCCAGCAGATGCCTCTTGTATCTATTTACCATGCCAGCTTCTGCCATAACTTCTCCCTGCCTTATTGGACCAGTACATCAATTTTACCACTGCCATTTGAGGCGATAGAAAAGCCACAATACTGTATGAGCATTAATCAGCACTAGCTTAAAGTCTTGTCTTTGTTGATATGTTGTGTTTTCTGTCATCATATGTTTACCGTGATGTGTTTATGTGTGTGACTGTATACATACATACCCATGTAATTGAGTTATGCCTTGTATCCACACAGAGGGTGCTGGTTCAAGCCACAGGCTCAGCTCAGAAGGGAGGACAAGTACAGCAACTTTCAGTACCCAGGGTTCAACAGGTCCCTCAGCAGGTACACAGTGCTGTACATACTTGTACACCCCTTGAAGTTTTACAATTTTTGAGAGGATTAATATTTTGACCTATAAAGTGTTTTCTTTTACAGTAAAGTAATAAGAAAAGTACATTGATTTCTAAAAATTTCAAGTAAACAGAATCTAGTGTTGGCAAAATAAACACATAGCCTGTTTCAGCAGGGCTTATTTGTCTCACTTTTATATAAATATTTGATCATTTTTTTCATGTCTCATTCGGGTCAGACTGGGGCATTGTAGTTTGGCCTTCGACTGACTCATTAGATAGTTAAACAGCAACCAAATGATGTTCGTGTTGAACACTGAGTAAGGATCCCAAACATGGCAGACCATTCATTCCACCGAAAGCCGCTCATCTAATGTGTGTGTTAAAATGTTTCCCCTGCTTCCTATGCCCCTCATAGGTGTGTGAAAGTGTCTTTCTCTGGCTGAGCCTGGCCCACTGACTGCATACATGAATAACATGAATATAACATCTTAATACAGCACCTGGTAGCTTTTAAAGAAATATTAGCTCTAATGGTTGGTCATTAAAAGTATTTTTAAATGTGCGTGATGATGAGGCTGCTGCTTTTGCGATTATGTGTATGGCAAAAAGGTCTTCTCTGGGTCCCAGGGTAAAATGTGAACTTGCTGCAAAGCCCCTGTGATTCCTGGGGGCTTGAACCAGATCCCAACACAAAATCTGTGTGATGTATAGCGTCTAATGGTGAAATCCAGGAGCTGACCTGACTGCTATTAGCTTGTCTTGTATTTCTGGCTGTTGTGACATGACACAAGATTAGCCAATAGCGGATGGACAGTTACCTGCTTTTTACCATTTTTTTGCCTCAGTACGTCATTTATTGCCAGTTGTGATGTCAAATCAAGCTTGTCTTTATTAAACAACATATGTCATTATCAGTTAAAATCAATTCAATTGTGATTTCACCAACTTTGTTTTTAAATTACAGGGAAAATGTGCATTTTGCTTTTTTTTTTCCCACTCGACATTGTTCCAAATCACTTTTACTCCTGATGCCCTTTCAAAATAACGTACTTATCTAGCAATTCAAATATTATAGAACTTCTACAAGAAACTTGGTAGGTCTGAATACAGTAGTTTTTTATTTTCAGTTATATTGTTGAGGCTTCAGTTTTGGACAAATAATTATGCAAAACCAAGGGATGTACAGATGCTTTCACTGCACTACATGTACACACTGTAATAGGTGTGCACATGCTTACACCCACAAGCAAATATTTTCATTTATCGCAGCAGTTGAAAGTTTAAAACGAGTTAAATCTCATTTGTAAAAATACGGAATCAAAAAGCTTTTCCTTTTTCCTGCTTTGATTTCCTGTTGTCTCTTTGTTAGGTACAGCAGGTGCAACATGTCTACCCATCACAGGTCCAATATGTAGGAGAAAGTGGAGATGCTGTTTACACCAATGGAACAATGTAAGCAATGTTACATTACGCCACAATTATAACAAATTATGATACATATTGTTCACTGAGTAGTTCAAGTACATTATATGATAAAGTTTAATTCAACCCAGTAAAGCATAAAATTGTATTAAAATCAGTTTTAGTAATAACTTAAAGTTTTATATTGGTATGGTTTGGTTTACATATGTAAGCCTTAATATTGCCCGTATTTGTGGGATTTTAATGTTAATGTTTGCCATATTTAACAACTGCCACTGTATTAATGCAAGACGGTAAAAGTTTTTGGTTTTCACATTAAACAGACAGTACTCTGCATAATATTTGACTCCACTCCAAATACAGACTCATCTTAAATTATGTATGAATAGGTGCTGGGTGAGTAATAAGACTTTCCAGACCTCTTTTCTCATCATTTTCACATCCAACTTGCTTTTAAAGTGGCTTTAATCAAAACACCTAATTGAAGCCAAGGACCCCCCCCCCCCCACACACACACACACACACACACACACACACAGTTTGGTGTCTGATTTGACTCCAGCATAACCAGATATTTTGATGACCTCAGTTATATTGTTGTCTGTGTAAACAAGATTATGTGCGGTTTCAGCAGCGCTGTGTTGCTGTACCCTTTCACAAAGAAGTGAAAATCAGAAGATTATAAATGCTCTTCTTAGACAAAGCAGAAACTGCTTTTGTACTCATGGCCTCCTAAAATTCATCAGTTGTCATGAAATGTACTTTATTCAGCATTATTATGGAATGACATCATTCCATCCTAATTACAATGATCTCTCCCCAGCCGAGCGGCCTATTCCTACAACCCCGAGTCTCAGTTGTATGGGCAGGGCAGTGGGGGAACCTACTTTGACTCACAGGCTGGGGGAGCTCATGTCACCACAGTGGTCTCTTCTGCCAGTGGGGGGGTGCCCCCTCATGGCATGGTGGGCATTGCTATGGACGTTGGCAGCAGCCACATTATCTCCAGTGGAAGCACCTACCTGATCCATGGAGGAAGTATGGAGGGAAGCCGCAACCACATATCACACTCATCACGCTCCTCTTCGGCTATGGTGAGCAAGACCCATACCAATTCCCTGTGGTACTCTGAAGCACTTTTCCCAATAGAATGGGATTAATGAGCCAGCAAAACAATCAAACTATAAATCAGAGCTTTACAAATCCACCACAGACAGAATGGCTTACTGAATACACTTGCGGGATTGTTTGTCTTTTCTCACCTGTTATGTGGCCAAATTATAGTTTTTATTCTCTAAAGAACATAAATAAGTTGTTACTACTAACTCTTAGTACAACAGGCCTTACTGAGCAGAAATTGCCATTACCATATGGTGTTGTGAGATACACACTGGTGCAAACTGTCATCACTGCCACCTGAGCCTGTGTCCAGACTGGCCAGGCTCCTGGACAAGCCTGAAAGGCAGGGAGAGACACACAGGGTTTATAGCAACCTGAGTTGGGGCCTCCCTCTGCAGTAACACACACAGAGCAGAGCAGTACAGGGCATAGAGCCTGTAGATTCGGGACACTGGCTTAAATAATTCAGCACTGCCTTGTTTCGGAGGTTTTCACAGGCACTTGAGCGCCCTGTGAAACAAAGCAACCCCTGGGGCTCATTACCATTTGGCCATGAGCCCTCGGGAGCCTTCTTAAGGCTTGGAACGCTGCCTCCCTCTTTTTCCTTTTCTTCCATGGCTCAGTCAGTTTGGCTGCAATACCACATATCTTTTCTTTTTTGACTTGATTTTCTTCTACAGCTCAGCCGAATGTCGCTGGTTTAGTCCTTCACTTTACCCGCCAGTTAACCAAACACAGAATAATATGCCATTGTATTTTAAACCATGACCCATGTGTTGTAGTTACAACTAACTCACTTTTAATTTTTCTAATATTATTTCAGAGTTTCATTGTTTGATACATTTTTGGGATGGGGCAGGATGGGGGTAGGCTTCGTTGAACTAGTGTCCCTAAACTTGATGTGACCTGCGCCCCTGTTTGTGGTTCCTATTTGCATAAATTAGAGTGTCTGACTGCAAACCTTCACTGAGCAGCTTAACCCTTGATTTGCATGCTTTTGTCAGTCAATAAAAGATTTGGCTGCAACACTGACTGATTTTAATGGAAATGGAGCGATCTGGCTGCTCGCTAACAGTCTTATTTCCTTTTATCTGTTTTTTTTTTGTGTGTGTATTTTTTTCATATACCCCTGCTTATTTCTGTCTCCTTCTTTTTATTTTTTTTCTGTCTCTCTCACTCTCCTGCCTCCTCCCTCTTCTGTGTCCACTGTTTTCTTTTTTGTTTTCTGTTTGTTGCATGCTTCTTCTTTCTTTAGCTTGAAATGGCGATTGAAAACCTCCAAAAGTCTGAAGGAATTGCAAGTCACAAAAGCAGCCTGCTCAACAGCCATGTAAGTCAACCAGGAACTTTCTTTTGAAAAGGACATGAAAAAAACAAAACAAAAAAAAAAACAAGAAAAAGCTGAACCTTTAGGCAGCGTGTTCCACTTGTTTTCTGCAAAGTTGAACACACTACCTTCTGCTAGCTTTACTTACCCTCTGCACTGTCCCACTGACACGCATAATTGTCTCAATTAGTTTTTGTCCTTCATCTGAACTTGCATATGCTATCACTTTTTGCTTAAGAATGCATCTTGTATACATTTGTTAATACTCTGCATGTACTTTAATTGATTGATTTTTCAAGATTTCTGTTCATTTTTTCTTATAAGTACACCAAGACATGCACTCAGTGTCAAAACATTTTATTGCAGTATTACTTGTTGTTGGGAGGCCGTCACTCAGTTAATAAAAATGCAGTTAAAATAATGCAGTTTAAATAAGATTTGTGTAGTTGTGTAGAAATACTATGCTATGCATGATGTTTCCCTACATTCCAACTCTTAACCTCAGCTGCCATCCTACAATCTCCATGTCATTTGAATGAATAGTGTTGTTTGACGGTATCTGCTTTAAATCTGATTTGCAAATTGGATAATTTGAGCTTTTTATGCAAATTCTTTATGATTGGGGTGTTAAAGAAAGACAGCTATGACTGTGTCCTCCTCAATATTGACTGTCTTGGAGATTTGCCCGATAGAATAAGTAGCACTTCAGATGTTTGAGTGCTCACTCAATCAGCCATTCCTTATGCTGTAGTCACTGCTTCAGGCCTAAGCGTAGCAACAGCAGGAGTGCAATGGTCTCTTTGGTCTTTAACCTCCTACAAAAAGTGGTTATGTGTTTTGTGCGTGCGTGTGTGTGTGGTGTGTGTTATCTGTCTTTTGATATGATAATAAGATGCACTGCTCCTCTTCATTTCTGGCCAGGTGACTATCAAAGAGCAGACTTTATCCATTGGGGCTCACTGAGTGTGCAACTGTGTCTTCCTCTGTTTGTTTTTAGCTGCAGTGGCTGCTGGACAACTATGAGACAGCGGAGGGAGTGAGCCTGCCCCGCTGCTCACTGTATAACCATTACTTGCGGCACTGTCAGGAACAGAAACTGGATCCGGTCAACGCAGCCTCCTTCGGCAAGCTCATCCGCTCAGTCTTCATGGGCCTGAGGACCCGCCGCCTGGGCACCAGGTACAAACAGGAAGAGGTTGTTGCCGATGCTGATAACAGTAATCATGTAACCATTATAGATGTGACGAGTATGATGATGCTTATAGGCATTGGAGACTTGCTGATGGAAGAGGATAATGATAGTGATTACATTGATGGCAAGTCTTCTCCTCCTCACTGGTTTCTGTCTTTTCTCTCACTGGATCTACCAGAGGCAACTCTAAGTATCATTACTATGGCATCCGGGTGAAGCCAGACTCTCCACTCAACCGGCTGCAGGAAGACACCCAGTACATGGCCATGAGGCAGCAACCTGTCCACCAGAAACAGAGGTCAGCACTCTCTCCCAGTCTGCCATTTTTACCTTTTCTCCTCTCCTCTACTTTCCATTTGTCTTGCTCTCTGTCATATCTATCACAATTTTCAGCAAATTTCCATTCATCCTATGCCATTTTTTTAGTTATCTTTTCCTCTGGCAACAATTAATTTTAGTTGTCTTTTGAATGACAATCGTGTATTCATCAAATTTTACTTTTGATACTATTGATATTTACTCTGCTGCTTACTGTGCTTTAGCTTTTGTCTTGTCTGGTAACTCCTTCCCTTTTCCTCTCTGAAGTTCTTTGCCTCTTTTCTTTGCTGTTTTCCTTGTCTTTCATGGTTGCTTATGTTTTTCCTAACCCACCTTTTAGTAAGACATGTATCCAAATCTTTAAAACAGTGCTAGTGATGGGTTGATTGAATTGAAAAATTAAATGTTTGTTAAAGATTAACTTAACACCCCTGAAAATCTTGTTTTTGCTGACCTCAGTGGTTTAACTGTTTACCTTGTCGCAGTGATGCAAAGTGTACCCCATGGTGTGTCAGTACACCATGACATCATTGTTAGGTGTGGCTTTGGTACAAAAAAAGCACAGTTCTGACCACACCTTGTCAGGTGACTGCTTTTCAGCATGGTTTTAAGTTACGTTTTAATGGTAATGTGAAATGCACAAAATATACCGCTGTAGTGTGTGTGTGCGCATGTACTGTAGGTCACTACTCCATTGCATTTTATGTATGCATTGGTTTTCACATCAGAGACAAATATATTTCAAAGGCAGCGAGAAGAGTAATTTCAGTAAACCAGAACTGTTTGCAAATGTTGTTTTCCTTTTTATCACGCCCCTGGCATTCCACTTCATTAGTCTCGCTTTAGTTAAAGGTGTGCTTACCTGCGGGTATGTGTGTGGTTTTTCATTGGAATGAAAACCTGCACAGTCCCAGCCCTCAACGTTTCTTTCTTATGTCATTAATTCCTTGTCTTTCAAAACCCAACTAACATACATGTCCTGTCCTCTGATGTCTGTACAGGTTCAAGCCTCTACAGAAAGTGGACGGTATGTCTGACAGCCTGTGTGGGAGCTCTCAGCACTGTAACAGCACTCCAGAGCAGTCCGTGGCTGCTCAGAGCCAACACCACCAGCAGTACATAGGTAAGAACAGGAGCTGGTAGGTTGCCACGACAACTGTTTGTCTTCAGTACGTTGATACTCAGATCAGACAAGTGTTTTAGACTCTCATCACTTCTTTCTTCTGATTTTTCCTGCCCATCTTTTATGATGGTACTAATAGATTTCTTTCCCCAAATTAAATCATGAATCATATATCATATTTACTCAAACATACATAATAAACACACGTAATAAATGTAAGACTGGTAAAATTAACTGCCAGGCAGCTTGTTTGTTTTAGACAATGTGTTGACATACACTCTATGATCTACCCTTACAGCTTTCAGCTTTTATGTACGTGTGTCTGTGTGAGTGACACCTGTCTACATTTTTGCTTTATGCAGATACGTCCCACACCTTGCCTACATTTCCCTCTCCTGACTTGGGCACCCAGCCTCTGCCTGAGCGCATCAACATGAACGATATCAAGAAGCTGCAGACACTCTACAGAGACCACTGTGAGGTACGTCATATTGCAGTACCACTCTTTTTTTTTTTTTCTTTTTTTTTTAATTACACCCTTCAAACCTTAGGAAGGTTTAAACAAATATAAACATTTTGAGCAGCGGCTTGCTCCTCTGTTTTGTAGTTCCTCATATTGAGACCTGCAGCAGAGCTTATCCCTGATTACACCACACACTGGTTTCTGTTCCCTCAATCTCATAGGGTGAGGTTGTTATAGGAGTGCAATGTTAAATCAGTGAAGAACTCTTAAAGAACCTTTAAACAAACTATATAAAATTGAACTATATATTTTGTGATCTTTTTTTCATGGTTTACTTTGAGCAGACAAATGTGCTTGTGGCTGAGTGCCACAGACATGGTAAAGTAAAGTCTGTCGCTTGGTTTTGAACTTCTTGACTATAAGAAAAATATAGAATAATACTTTATCAGGGTAAATGTGTTTAATAACGGTTTATACACATCCTGAAACAGAAGACACAGTGAAAGCAAACTACAAGAGTCAACAGGTGTCCAGCTTTTACAGAAAAATCTTATGAAAAACAGTACTAGAAAAATATATTAAGATCTAAGAAGAAATGGCTCCTTGTTAATAACATATCACGTTGCAAAGCATAATTCATAGTCTAATGGTAGGACAACACTCCAGCATGGAACACATTGGCAATGAGAAGAGTAGAAAACTTATTGAACATTAAAATTTGGGGGTTTTACAAGCAGTAGAGGGGCTGTGATTAAAGCAGTGGAGCTTGGGCTTTATCATATTATTCCTGCCCTCCCCTTGTCCAGTCTCACCACGCTCCCTTTGTTCCAGCCGTCTTTTCATCTCGGTGCAGCTTTCAAGACATGCCAATTAACCTTTCAGCACGCTGGGTGGACATCTTGGTGTCTTTGTGGTGGCCTCCCCTTGGGCCTTTGTGTTGCCTTGTCTGTGGACAGGCACATGGGCTCCTGTCTTTGTCTGCCAGCGCATTTCTGTCACTCTCACAAGTCTGTGTATTTAATGTTTATGCATTTCACTTTTTTTCCTTTTTTGTAAGCCAACAGTGACCTGTTAACACATTAGCCAAGACTTTTATTGACATAATTTAGAGTTACAGCACAAATAAAGGTATTAAGTTGGCCTAAGCATAAAACAATATCTTATTATTTTTTTCATCCAGTTAAAGTCTTTTTTTTGAGCAGGGCTGTTAACAGATTTGTATCCACAGCCAAATATTCAGGTATCAGCTGTGCCTTTTAATTTAATGTTTAAGCATAAATTATTAGGTATTTAATAAAACTTTGAGGGTAATAAATCACGCTGTAAACCGCAGTATTTGGTGTGTGTGTGTGCACACAGATGTGAGGGGTTAAGATTCGGGAATCTGCCGCATGTGTTATTTCTCCTCCACACTTTTTTCACTTTTTCCTGTGTGGTGCAAAACCATGAAGGCAAAAAGGCTCTTGTTTAGAGGGGATGGGGAATTCTCCTTTTTGTTTTGGAGTTCTGTGTTTGACCTGTTGCTTGGGGCAACCGTAAACAAGGTTGCCATGGCAACGGCTGTAGAGGAAGCAAAAACATATCATGTGATTGAAGCCCTACACTGCTGTGTAACAAGATCCAGCGGCAAGTGCATGTCCTGCCAGATAGAGAAAGAGGAGAATCTCCGGGCACGGTGTGAATCGTACGTGCAATGCAGAGATATACTGAACAGTTTGAGACCAGTAAAACAAAAGCGTTTGACCTCTGCCTCATATGGAGTCAGGCTGACGTTTCCTCTGGTGAATGTCCTCAACAACTTCCACTGCGCTGTCTTTTCTGTTTTGTGTGTGTGTGTGTGTGTGTGTGTGTGTGTGTGTGTGTGTGTGTGTGTGTGTGTGTTTCAAGGTTTTGTCCACACACATTTTGGTGTTAAGTTAAGGCTTTCTCTCTAAACAAACCCAGAAACTAGTTTATCATTTCAGATCACTAGCTTACCACTGCTTCCTTTTGCGCTCTTGTAGCGTTCACTTGTGTGCAGTATACTCTGCTTTCTAAGAGTCTCATGCATATGAAGAGGAAAGAGGAAGTCACATGTGTTAGTTCAGGTCAGCACCTCACCACTAAAAGGAGACAAATACATGCATAAATCCATCAGACTAATCTGCTTTATAAAGCCAACTGAGATTTTTTTTAAAACTTAGTGAAATCAACTAAAAAAAACTCCAGATGAAGCTGAAACGTGGCCTTCAGGATCCTCCTAATGATTAATGTGCAGGGAGCTTTGTTTGAGCTGGCTCATTGTCTAACTAGGAGGGCCCGGAGTGAGCGAGAGGCTGCCTGCTCGCCTGTAGAAACTTTGTTGTGTGTCTGGTTGCCATGGCTCAGCTCTGTATGTTTTGTCCCCCCTCCCCTTCCCCCTTCTCTTCTCTCTCCCTCACTCTCTCGCCCCCTTCCTCCCTCTCTCCTGCAGGCTACATTGGATGTTGTGATGAACCTCCAGTTCCACTACATTGAGAAACTCTGGCAGACCTTTTGGTATTCAACATCGCCATCTAGTGACGGAAATACTACCATCCCCAGCAGGTCAGATCACCATACAGGAAGAGCAAAGGCTTCAGTATTGAAAAGAAAGTTCCTACTTAATATTATAATCAGTGTATTGTATGAGCTAAATTAAATCTTCTATTTTAACAGTATGTCAAGTCAAAAACTTTAACATTTAGAACAGTTTTATTTGAAAGACTGCAGTATTTACAATTTGGATATATGTATTTATTTCCTCCTGTCTGTGTGCAGTGATGATGACCTGGAAGGTGTGATCCCCACCGAGAAGCTGGTGGCTCTGTGTAAATATGAACCAATCAGACTATGGATGAGGAGCTGTGACCACATCCTCTACCAGGCTCTGGTAGAGATCCTCATCCCTGATGTGCTGCGTCCTGTTCCCAGTCAGTACTATTCATATTTGTATTTATTATAAAACAAATGTAAGATCCTATGAATACTAATACAAATCTAATTATTATTGTTCCAGTATTATCTCTTTGCACCCTCAGTAATACATTGACACCACACCCAACATCACATTCAAGGGATTTTGCCATTTATCCTGCTCCAGAACTACTTTAATCTTCAGTATTGCATTTGACTGCGTTTGCACAACTCTACTTGAGACACGTTGTACATAGCTGAATGTAGTAAAATCAGTTTCCAGGCTGTTCTGTTTCTTCAGGCACTCTCACTCAGGCCATCCGTAACTTTGCCAAGAGTCTGGAGGGCTGGCTGACTAACGCCATGACCACCTTTCCTCAAGAGATCGTCCGCACCAAGGTAACAAGAAAATCTCTGATCCCCGAACTCTTATATAGATTGTTTGTGCACATACAATATGTGAATTATGATATTAAAATATGTCTCTAGTGTGCAGATAATTTAATATATCACATTTTGTTACATAACCAGCCATTAGTTAACTATTATCATTGCATGTGGCTGGTTTGTGATCCATGATCCATGTCATATGTTGCTGTGCACAGTGCCTGCCATCTCTTCAATGACCATAATGATTCAATCTATGCATTAAATATTATTCCATTGAAAGTGTATTATATTTAGAACATGTTCATTTTGGTGCATGTTCTTGGTGAGATGTGCATAAATCTTGTGCACAGAGAGCCCTAGAAACCCGTTGCGTTTACATCTGACATAATTTGACTATAATAATAAAACATAAAACATAGTGAAATAAAATTTCAGGCTTCATCATGGATTCTCTGGTTCTGTCTCCATGGTGTAGGTGGCGGTGGTCAGTGCGTTTGCCCAGACACTGAGACGTTATACCAGTCTGAACCACCTGGCCCAGGCAGCTCGCGCCGTCCTCCAGAACACCTCCCAGATCAACCAGATGCTCTCTGACCTCAACCGGGTGGACTTTGCCAACGTCCAGGTAAACTTGTCTGACAGCTTTCCTTGTTATTTAACGTCAAGACTTCACGTTGAAACGTCAGATGTTGCACAAATGTGCAGACTGTTTGAGTTTTCCGTCTCTCGCTGAGCGGAATATGTTTGTTGTGTCCTAACAGGAGCAGGCATCATGGGTGTGTCAGTGTGACGAGAGCGTGGTTCAGCGTCTGGAGCAGGACTTTAAGGTCACCCTGCAACAGCAGAGCTCTCTGGATCAGTGGGCCACTTGGCTTGACAACGTGGTGTCTCAGGTCCTGAAGCCTCACCAGGGCAGCCCCAGCTTCCCCAAAGCTGCACGCCAGTTTCTGCTCAAATGGTCCTTCTACAGGTACGAGGGGGGAACAGTGAGGCAGTTTTAAAATCTCTACATCAGTCTGGTTTGTTACTTCATTTTAGGGAAAAGCTAATTTAGCTTAATGTGGTGGTGTAGCTACATGAAACTGTCTCCAAACAGCATTTTATAGATATCTCTCTCCTCCCTGTAGCTCCATGGTTATCAGAGACCTGACCCTGCGTAGTGCAGCCAGTTTTGGCTCTTTCCACCTGATTCGCCTGCTATATGATGAGTACATGTTTTACCTGGTGGAACACCGTGTGGCTCAGGCCACAGGAGAAACTCCTATTGCCGTCATGGGAGAGGTAAGAAAGGAGATATTTGAAACTGCTGTAGTTGCTCAAAACACTTTGATGACAACGATGAAAATTATGTTGAAATTGAAATTATGTTGCTCTCTTATCTCTTGAATCACAGTTCAGTGACCTGAGCTCAATGATGCCATCACTAATGGAAAAAGGTAAGCCTTTATTATGTACAGTGCTCGGTTTTATATTAGTCTGGTTATGTCCTAGCTAACTGGCTCTGGGTTTTCCCAAAGCAATATTAAAAGGATCAGTCTGGTCATATTCTGCTAAGACAAAAACCAACCTTGTGTTAGTTCATCTCTCAATACTTTCTGTCTTTCCTACTCAATGTCTGTGGCCCCAAGCACATTTATTGCTAATAAATCTTTCTGAAACGTGTTGTCAGTGTACATTTAATTTGAGCCATATTTTGAGCTGTGATATCTTGTTGAAAATTTAGTTGTACTTGACTCAACCTGATCAGTTGCTTCCAGTACTCTGTTATGCTAAAGAATTCCCATGGTGCATTGGCTTGTCTACGGGAAGTTCACCCCTAGCATGTTTCCTGTTGGTGGCGAAGTTTTCATAAGTAATTATATATTTTTTGATTTTAGTTTAAGAGGAACAAAATTATGTAAATTAATATTTCCCAAGAGTCTGAGGACTTTTTATTCATTTTTATTAAAAACATGCTCTACTAGGTCAGGTAGGTTTTACTTTATTTTACTTTAATTGAGAAAAATTCATGTCTGTCTACTCTTTGGTTAAAAACTGCCCAAAGGCACTGTGCGTGGGCCCTTAAAGGGTTAAAGACTTTCATCTTCAATGGGAACCAATGGGCCTGGAGGTAAGAGCCACAGACGGGGTGGGTAAGTCAGTTAAACTAAAGTAGTTTGACTCCAACAATCCCCCTCTCTTTAGATGCGTCCTTCTCCGACGAGATGAGTGATCTGGGCAGTGATGCTGACGTGTCCAGAGGGCCTACTGAACCAGCTGTAAAGAGAGAGAGGATTGAAATGAACCACCCTCTGCAGGAGATGTGAGTCGAGTCTGAGCAGGGCCGGACCAGCATCTCTCCCTACAAAGGGGCTTTTTGAGGTCCTTTGGGACGCAGCGGCTTTTGGGCCGACCACACTGCGTCCTCCTGCAGTCAGTGTGTGCAATGTACATAAAGAAAGTAGCAGTGTCAGTCCTCCCCTCACTAGCGTTCATAAGGATGGTGATCTTTCTCCCAGGAAGCTCATGTCTTTTTTTTTTTTTACTCAAAGGGGTATAACACAGGTCTGATTTTCTTTCTGGTTTTTGTTGCAACTGTGAATGACTTTGTGCAGTACCTTTTTATTGGATGTGTAACTTTTGAGTGGTGGTGTGTGGTGTTTGTGATTCTTCTCTTTTTATTTTGACTAGCTGTGCCATAGTGTAATTTGAGTGCCTTAGATCGCTAACTTTGAAACCACCACTACAGATGTCTATCTGTCCCTCAGCTGTGCCTCTACCGCAGTATGAATGTATCGTCTCCAAACCTCAGACATTCAAAGCACCTTTAACATTGATTAGGTGTAGGTGTGTAACACTCCTTGTTGCCTCTGCTGCAGCTTGCAGCAAACACATACATGAAAAACATGCAACCTACAGACCCAAAGGACCTTTCCCTCAGTCGTTCCCACCAGCTTAGCCATAGTTGTGGCTCTGTAGGGCCTCATAGTCTCACAGTAGTCAGGAAGGCGGAGAACTCGTGTTACCTGTGTAAGATGTTGGTTTGTTTACCTCAATAGATTTCTATGCTGTGCTCCGTTCGGCTCAGATGACATGAGGCGTATTTAAAATAAATAAAATGTAGCCACTGTTGCGGTTTGAGTCTCTCCCACTCCCGTTTCATGTAAATATTTCTCCAAATGGTTTCACATCCTGTGATGGCTCCTCCGTTTGCTCCAAGTCCTAATTCAGTGACTCATATGTGCAGACCTGTGGTAGTTTACTCAGCTGCCACAGAGATGGGAATAAATAAACTTAATGAGATGGGATGTTACAACCTAAACTGGAGTCTGGTCTGTCTCATTGTGCCTCGTTTCCGGATTTGAAAAAAAGTGGTTGTACATTTAAACTAGGGAAATTAATCAATACATGGTAAGAGTGTTGACCTGTAAAACCAAAATTCTTACACAAAAAGACGATCTCTTTGGCGTCTGAGCCAGCTCTCTGACTCCAGATACTTTGACCTCACGCTGTTACTCTGTTAAAAAGTCTTAGATAGAAAAATCCAGTGAGTTATTTGGGGAATCTGTCCATAATAAATTATATATACATACACACATAAATAAATATATATATCTTTGTATGATGTAGAAATTGTATGCTCTGTGACCTTCGGTCTTTGCCCAATCTCTCTCCTCACCCTGTACTTGGTTGGTCACATTGTATCAGAAGAAAATGCTTTGATGTGTAATTGATTAGACTGGCGTGTGTGATAAATTTGTTTCTAATCTCAGTTGTTCAATGTATGAAATTCAATTATTACTGTGGTGCTACTGCGCCCAGGTAAGCTATTAAACTGTCACAAGAGAAATTTCTATTTATGATTCTGATTTGATTGACATCCGCTTTGTGTTGAAATTTGATTTATTTTTTTTCTCTCCTCCACGTTCCACCCCTCGGGTTATGATTTTGTTGTAGCGATGAGAATCCTTGAGCTTGAGTTATTTAAGGCTTTTTGTAACTTGTGCCTGTCACAGTAATTTGCCTTCAAGTGCTTTGGAAAAAAAGTAATTTCTGTGTGTACTTTGTAATGTTTTGTAAGGCTGTTTTAGATTTTTTGGCGGAGGATTATTTTTTATTGAACTAGATTTGGTTCTTCTTACAAGTATACTGAACCCTTATTTTTGTGCATTTTTAAACCTGTTCTTGACTACACTTTAACTAGCCTAAGGACAGATGGTCTGTAATAAACTGCATAGTTCCGCTGTATTTTGTACTTGGTCACAATGTTTAATAAATTGGTGTAAACCAAAAGGTTTGAGCACATTTATTTTTAGCAAATAATCAACATCACAAAACCTATTTGAAACAAACAGAAGATTTACAAACATTTTTTTCCTAAGGTTTAGTAGAAGATCTTAGCTCACAAGTGACTCATTTGATCCTTTAAGATGCTCTTCCATACAGTATTTACATAATTTAAAAATCCTAGTTTCCATGGCAGCTCAGTTTCAGATAGTAATTTGCTTAACTTTATTCACACACATCTTTTTCCTTTACTCTGTAGTTCAAGAAAACATCTAGCTCAGTTTGCAGCCTCAGTACGAACAGAGGAGATAGAAAAAGAGTTTCCCTCCTGCTAAAGGCAGGAGGGCGTGTACTACACACAACTTAATTTAGAAGAAAAGAAAAAAGAAAGGGCTTGGTCCTATAACAGCAGGACACTGTCAGAAGTAAGTGCACATCGTCCTTCCCGGCTGAGCTGTCAGTCTGAGTAAAGGTGCCTCGTCTCAGGTTTAATGTTTTACCACGAATCATCATCTCTCCTCCGTCCAACCCCGACTTCCCTGAACCTGCAGCCAGTGGTCCTTCACACGATTCACAAGGAACAGCCTGCCATGTACTTCCCTGTCAAAAACATACAAAAATGAACAACCTACAGTAGACATATGTACAAAATCCAGCAATATTATTTAGTGAAACTGAATAGCAAACGTCGATTTTTTTTCCTCCACTATAACCACAAAGTGAACTCTGATGATTTGCTTCATTTTTTTATTTATTTATTCTTATTTAAGTCTGTCTTCATGTTTTGTAAAGAGAGAGAGAGAGATTTTTATATATAAAAAATAAAGTACAGTTATTTGTGTAAATTCAACTACTTTCATAGCTGGAAAGTTATTCCAATAACTATAAAAATCTATAAACAAACAATTATTTTTAGGGCTCCAACTAATGATTATTTTCATTATTGCTGAAGTCCATTACTTTTTCGATTACTGGTTGAAAGGTTTGAAATGTCTTGCACGCTGTCAATCACTTATACTCACTTTATTCAAGAATTAATGGTGGTCTGAGGACTGAAACATAGTTAATAAAATGAGTACAGGTGAGTCTGTAGTGCAAGAACTGAAACCAATAATTAATGGTTTAAAAAATATCAAATAGTGAAAAATGCCCATCATAATTTCCCAGAGCCCAAGGTAATAATATTGCTTGTTTTATCCGACCAATGCCTAAATCCAAAGATAATCAATGTACAATCATACAAAAAGAAAATATATAAGCTGAACACAACTTCCTGTCAATTGTTCATCGATGAAGCATTATTGCATACTACTGTGAAAAAAAGAAAAAAGATCCACAGCAGCCTTCTTGAGGACCAGAAGGACAACTGAGGGAGAATATTGCCCACTTCTACCATCACTTATCATTTTTATTGTTAAGTTGATATTAGGAGGTGCATTTACATGTGCAGGTTGAGAATAAAAACATTTTCAGACATGTTACTGAGACACGATCCTCCACCAAAGGGCCGATTCTCAGCCAGTGTTAGAAAAAAAAGTGTTCACAGTGTCACCTGTGGCAAATCTTTTCTTGACCAGCGACATGCGGTAGCGGCTTCCCACCAGCTCCACGCTCATGCCTGACAGCGAGGCCCCAGAGCCCACAAACTGGACAGCCAGGCTGGGTGGAGGGCCGCGAGGAACCTCCAGGCACTGCCAGCTGGCACACAGAGTCCCTGAGCCTGGGACACCGCCGACAGGCAAAGACACAGATACATGGGAAACACAGTAATGATGAAGATGATCAACACAGTGGCTGGTTCCTCTTTGAAAGCGATACATTGTTAGCGCTTAGATTTTCAAGGCTGTAATTGTAATTATGACTGTAATTATCATGAAGAAGATCATTGCACTTCACAACATGAACCATCCACTCAGATTTCATAGTTAAGCGCTGGTTTACTTGTACTTTAGCTCTCTATATTTATATATTGATATATCTCAATCTATATCTAGTAAGTAAAGTTTATTTAGTGTAGCACATTTCACAGATCAAGGTCACAAAAGTGCTTTATAAGAGCAAAATATTAGCAAAAAGAAAAATTTACAAATAAGACTTAGAAAAGTAAAGAAACAACAATAACACATAAGCAACAAGATTAAAAAAAACAGTACAATAATCATAAGAAATAAACCATAAAACACAGGATTGCACGTGGCAAGATGAAAAACTGTTTAAATAAAAGTCTTCAGATGCTAGATCTCTCTGCAGAATCAATGACATCTTTTAAATCACTTTTCAAAACATTAATGCTAGCACACCAACATGACTTGTCTGTTTCATTATTATTATTGTTGGGTATTTTATTCTATTCTATTTTTGTATTATTAATAATTGTCTGATTTTATGTATCTTTGTTTTGAAAAGTGCTGTCTAAATAAAGTTTATTATCATTATTATACTAACTCCATGCACATCTATTAAAGGGCTATGATGAAGGGGTCACCTGAGCCCATCTGATGGGTGGTGGTCAAGATAAAATAAGCACAAAACTTGGTTGAAAAGTCTTGTAGACTTCTAGATTACCTTTAACAGTTTGACTGCAGTCGATACGTAATCAAGACATCTGAAAAACTTTCACTTTTCAACCAAATTTATCTCAACCGGAAAGTTATTTCATCAAGCACGAGTCAAAGCCCTCACTGTATTTAAATGTCACAAACACCATGTTTTTGATGATAAAGGCATGCAGTGTGAAGGAATATACGTGTACTTGAATATACTTTGTAGTTTATTTTCAGCCGT